CGTTTTACCTTGGAGTAAATTGTCTCTCCAGCGGCGATAAGACACTCATATCCTCGATAAACCCATCGATCCTGATCACGTGAGAGGAACAAATTTGAAGGACCTTAAGTAGTAAGCGTATAGTTGTTGAAGTGGACATTGTCAATTACTTTTTTTAAGTTTGGTGGATTTGAGCGAAAGTGTTCCAAAGAGAGAAAAACTAAAATTATACCGAATAAAAAAAATTCCTCGAATCATAACATTATAAATTACAAATCCACTTATTTCAGATTTATTTCAAAATAATTCAACATACCTGTTCCAAAGGACTCAAAATAATAGATTCCCTGAGTTTCGAGGGTGTCATGATGGCTCAGATATGAATGGACCTGGAATTACACGCTTATAATGCTATTTTATATTATTATTATTATGATATTCCTGTCTTCTCTTCACTGGACAGAATTACATGAAAAGGAAAACCAGATAAAGTGCCCTTCTTGAAAAAAACATCATTGCCATTTACTGCAGATTCAACCAGTTTGGGAGCAACTTAACGGTTACAGTATCGCATAAAAACTGTAGATGACAAACCTTTCCCAAACTATCTCTGCACTTCTCACTAATGTCCAACGTTTGGGAACGATTTATGAACTCCAGAACGAAATCCTCATCGTAATTTTTAAGTGATGCTTGAGACGTTACTACAAGAGTTAGCACATACAGTGCTTGTATCCACGTCATAACCCTGAAAGATATGAAGTAGAGCTATAGCGCACCAAAAAGACTCATTCACATGATCACGGTAGTCTTCTTCAATGCAATTTCCGAGAAGCGAAACAAGCAAAGTACGACTAGAAGAAGAGGAACATATATATAGGAAAAACTTGTTTGATGAAAAACTAAGGGAATTTTTGTTAAATTCCAAGTTTGTTTAAAGACGGGTATCCTGTAAGAAAACCGCCATCTTTAGCAGCTTCTGGTCCCAAAAGTCTTGTTTATTCCTGCTGAACGAATGGTC